GCTACTGCTACTGCTACTACTACTAAGCCCCTTGGCTCCAAGGTGAGAAATGATTCTTCAAACTGTGGGGCTTGACAATCCCAACTGTAGAGGGCCATCTAGAAGGCTCCGGGGCCATCAATCTCAACACAGCTGTAGGGCGCATGATGGAGCATCATTGCATCCCGCATGCCTGAAAGCACTTGCTGTCTGTGTTGTGAGCGTACTCTGCCCATCACTTCCGCCTCCGGTACGTCTTCTTCCGTACCAGCCCACTCGGTCAGCAACCCAGACTGAGTATAGCCTGCTGCCACATGAGGTGAAGAGCTCTCTGCGTCTCCTGCATCTGTGCTCTGCACTTGCACATCTTCTGAAGAACAGGTGGCCCAAGCACAGCAAGGAAGTCCGACTCCTGGTCGCAACGTGCAGCCATGCCCAAAAGCTCGGAGCCGAAAAGAGCTCCTCGTGCCGGCACAGGAGCTACCTCCACGAGGCGATCGAAGGCGAAGGCCAAATCAAGCACTAGGAGGGCATCCCTGGAGGCTGACGAGGAGCTTAGCCCCATCTCGGGCTTCACTACGTCTGAGAGCGAGGCAGTGGATGCTTCTGGCTCCGGCCCTCCCTCTGGAGCCAAGCTAGCAGGACCGCCGCCGCCGATGCCAGTGGGAAGGGAGCCTGTCGTTGCAGCAATGGCAGCAATGGACTCAGCCAGAAGCAGAACACCACGAGGAAGTGTGGCGATGGGCTCACATGTGTCTGGATCAATGGGGCCGCCACCATCGGCCCCAGGCAGTGACATGGTGCCAACGACTGCTTCCTCCACTCTGCCTCCTACCTCAGCCGGGCCTCCGCCACCTAGCCCTGCAATGGTGGATTCTGGACATGTGGGCCCTCCCTATGCCACGCCAGCAGAGCACATGGCGGCCCTCCAAGCTGCAGCCAAGGCAGCGCCGACGACAGCTCCCATTGATCCGAACGAAGGTGGTGCCACCTTGCCGCCGCCTGTGGGAGTCTCCTCGATTCCGGCAGCCAAAGCAGGCTCGGCTCCGGCCCCGAAACCCCCGACGGTCTATGCTAAGGCGGCAACAGCAGCAGTCGGCACTATTCCGGGCTGGACGATTACTATTACCATTCAGCCGAGCCGATAAGGTGCCTTGGTCAGTGCCTGGAGCAAACTCTCCGGTAGAACACCTGCATGCTCCGACTGCCGATACGAGCTATGTGCCTAGGATTCTTCCGATCTCGCGACAGGAAAACATCACTCAGAGCCAGTGCTTCTGCCAGTGTCGGTGGAGCTGTCAAAAATGTCGAGCTGTGAGAACGGATCATGCCTTTGCCCAGGTCTGCGCAATGGTTCTACCAATCAAGGCTCTCGCAGGATCCCGTGCTTGCCTCTCCCCCACCCGCAGACCTACAGCTGTAGACAGTTGCTGTCCCGCTAGGAGAAAGCCAGCCCACACTGCACGAAGACTCGGGCCGGATGATGGCGCTGTCACTGTCTCAGAGTGCCTCTTGCCAAGTTGCATGCCAGTCTCTACCAGACAGGTTCTGCATAACTCTTATGTGCCGTGCACTCCATGCACTAGCTTAGCAACTCTGTTCGTGGCTGTGGATATCTCAGCAGGGCCCCTCAGCAGTAGCTACCGCGAGTCTCCTCCAGACTCATGGACTGAAAGTGGGACCCTGCTGTGGCTCTCATCTCGTGCACTGGGAGCGATGGGCAAGAAGAAGAAGCCCTGGATCCCGCCTCCTCCACTGGACTGTGCAAACCTGGTAGCAGACGATGCAATGGTGCCTGGAGCAGATGTTCTGGTTACTGGAGGAGCCCACGAGAGGATCCATGGCCTTAAAGGGTACATCCTGTCCTCCTCGGAGGAGAACAGCACCACGGTGAATATAAGGTTGTACCAGGGGCACGCGGCTCTCCAGTCAAAGATCTGGTGTGTGGATCGCTCGAATGTTGCTGTCTGTGGGCCAGATCCGCCAGTCGAAGACGACGGCTTGCACCCGTCGCTTCGCTGGCGGTTGCGACCGCCACCCCTTACAGTCTTCTCAGCTCGCTTTGTGTTGGGATGGCAAAGTTTGGCCTCGATGGTTCCCAAGAAGCCGGAGAAGAGATCGCAGCAGGATGTCTCCGAAGCTGGTAGACAACCTGTCACAAGGCTTTGGCAGGGAGTCAGAAGGATCAGCAAGGAAGGTGCACTACTACCTCAGCCCAAGGCCGGTGCTAGACGTGATCCTCCACTTTCCAGACTACAGAAGGAGCTCCTGTTGAGGCTTCCCTTGATGACCAGCACCCCCGGGAGGCCCGCTAAGCGTCGAGAATCCAGCCAGGACCTGGATGGGCAGGAGGAGATGGTGGAAGTGACTGTAGACTGGCCACTTGATACTTCGTGGCCACCTGCTCCACCGGCACCTGGACAACCTGCACCATGCACAGCGAGCTTGGACAGGCCCTTCGCTGAGATCCTCAAGTCGGGCCAAAATCGCCTGCAAGAAGCGGAGACTGAGAAGGCAACCCCGACGACCTCTGCTGTCACTCCGACCAAAAAGGCGAGAACCAAGCCTGCTTCCACAGCCATTGGACCCAGGAGGCCCAAGTCGATCTGGTTTGACACGACAGAGCCTTCGGAAATGGCTGCTGCTCTGAGACCTCGCAAGCGAGCCAGTCGACGGCAGATGTTCCAGACGGTGCTGCTTATCAGTGCTGCCAATAGGGCAGCGGAGACCCAACTACCACGAAGGAGCATCCAGGCCAGACCCCTTGGGATTGCAGCCGGCAGTCCTCCATGCTGCCGACTTCTTCTGGATATGTGTTCCTCTGCAGGCACCGTCGACGGGACTTTGGGGCCTTCCAAGCCCCGATTGCCACATGCCCAGTCAACTCCCTCCGTGCCGACATAACACAACCAGCATGCTTAGGCCATGGCAGTTTTGCACAGATGACCCTCGACAACAGGCCAGGATGTTGGCAGGCAAGCCCCCTGGCTCCCTCCCAGGGCCTAGCCGGTTCTCCCACCCCTGTCCCAGGTCTCGCACCGCCACCTCGCACAGAGACCTCGATACCGGTGGGGAGCTGCAGTGAACGTCCAGTCCGAATCAGGGATTGCCGCTCTCAGCACTCAGGTCTGCCTTCTTCACTGGCAACAGGCAAAGCCGTGCTGAGCCCTATATCAAGTCAGATCTGTCAGACCTACTCCAGCAAGATACAGGGCTGGGTGGACTGCTACCAAGACCCCCAGCACTGTGCAATATGTCGTCAGCCAGAAGCTCAAATGGCTCCTCATCGCCTGGCCTATGCTAGACTGCTCCAGTGGCATGTAGGTTGCCTCGACCGCCCTCGACAGAGACATGGATTCGCACATGTCCAGGTGGACACCTTCGTTGTCCATCTGAGCTCTTACCACTATGGTGCAGGTACTGTCAAGGACGACCCGAATGCCCTTGCATCCTCGTCCACCTCCCCGGAGGAGCAAGGAACACTGCCCCAGGCGACAGATGCTGTTATGGGACATGTCATCCTGTTGTCGCCGTCCCTGGTACAGGTGTGTCTGAGGCACTGGCATCAGGC